TCTACAAGAGATACCTGTATAACTTTCTGCTACAGAAATATATAAATTAATTTATTGTATTATAGTTATTGATGATATAATGTTTTTCTTAATTGAAATGTCTGTATTTGGCACCAGTGATACGATAATTGTATCAAACGAGTCAGCACATCGATATTTTGTCCCACCCTTACGTTTACCTGTATGTAAAAGTAACAATAACGCTGTAAAAAAATACTACACCAATAGTTAAAGTCCTGATTTTAAGTAGTTTATTGTACATATAAAGTCAAGTTTATTTAATGAAAGTAGTTGATTAAATAAATATTTTCAGCTAAAAGTAAGCATTTTCATAAAGGCACCTTTGTTATATCACATTCTGTTTTAATCTCTAACAGACAGATGCTAACAAGTGAACCTGCACCAGGAGAATGGGGATCCTTTAGTGAGTGAACAATAATAAGTAATACACAGCCATGCTACATTAGGAGTTGTAAAGGAAAAGGAAATATGCAATACTGAAATAAATGTTTTATGCTAGAACAAAATCAACCACTAGAGGGAGACAAAATCCAAAAATATTTAATTCCTACACCGAGTTGCTGTAGTTGAGATTATGTTTTTGTTTGATAAATCAGTGTTATGTTGGTTGAAAATTAAACAATATGTGGATCTTTATATATGTCATAAGCTCAGATTTGACATATCATTACATAATGCAGTTATTTGTAGCACTTTGCATCCAGTATCACGTTTGGAGTGAAAGCTCTGATGGTGTATGTCTTGTTCTTGTTGGGAAGGGAGAACATCGACGTAGGTGAATGATGGAAAGCTTCCTGTTACATCACGCTGGTCGGTAACCTTTTAGAGTCTGAACGTGACTTTGATGATCCCGCAGAGGCCTTCGACAGGGAGTACCGCCTGGCGTACGACGAACTGAGCGCCAAGCAGCTCAAGTCTTTGCACCGCATCGATCAACCGCCCAGCCCTAGCCTCCAGTGGTTTCTTAAATGCTTTGGTGCCCCCTTCATCTGATCACCAACAACTGCAGCAAACAAGTCCCGATGCCTTGACTGTTTTGTGTGCTCCAAGTCTTAATGAATTGCATAATTTGCTTAACCTTAAATGTGCAGGTTCAGTATGAGGCGTTTTGTCTTTGTAAAAAAAATGATGTGTAGATGTGAGAGGACAGAGGACAATCACAAAAAAAAGTTTCTGTAACATTCCAGATGACCCTCAATAAGTAAGGTCTGAAAAGTATTATAAGTCCCTTCAACAACACTGAACTGATTAAAAGCAGGCATTCAGAGGGAAAAACAATAATCAGTGGGTGGTGTAAAGGCACGGTCAACTCAAACAATAATCCTAGACACATGTCCTGAAGAGGAGGACAACAGATCTCTCTCCCCTTTGGACCGGCAGTTCCCGGAGGATTTCTACCAGAGATGGCAGCAGGTGTCTCCTCCTGTTCCTGATGCTCCTCCTCAGCTGCTGACTGTCCGTCCGACATCCACAGGAAGAAGATCCTACCTCACCTTCAAGATCAGAAGATAGTGCTCCCTCAACCTCAGGCCTCAGCTCCTCCACCAAGAGGAGCAGGGAGGAGAGCTACATGGACTCCACTCCATCCACCTCAGGCTCCTACAGAAGAAGAGGATTCTGGGAGTATCCCCCTGTGTTTGATGAGGAGACCACAGGCGTATGAAGAGGAGTATGAAGAGGAGAGTGAAGAGGAGAGCTCAGAGGAGAGGGAACAGGCGGCCGAGGGCGAGGGCGAGGGCGAGGAGGACCTCTCATGCTGGTTCAGGGAGGATTCTGGGTATGAGTATGACTGGGTGTGCTACTTCCACTTCAGGCCTCAGCTCCTCCACCAAGAGGAGCAGGGAGGAGAGCTACATGGACTCCACTCCATCCACCCAGAAGAAGAGGATTCTGGGAGTATCCCCCTGTGGTTGATAACAGCGACTCTGACAGCCCTGATTCCTCCAGGAAGTGAAAAGTGGAATCTTTGTGTCTGGCTGGACTTTTCAAAACCCCAGAAACCTTTTCCACATGCCTGGCAGACAATGTTGTTAGGCAGCCTTAACAGCTGCAAGTACTGTACAAGCATTAGGCATGTTTTTTTGATAGTTTAAATCAACTTCTGGAATAGTGCAGACTCAGAGATAGTTACTCTTTCTTACTTTGTTATGTTGTTGTGTATTTGTCTATGTACGGTCCAGGTGGCTATACCAGACAAAGGTAAGGTAATATTTAATAACAATAGTTTCTAAAGACGGCTGATAATTCCATGCACAGGTAATTAAACACTGTTTATTGTCATCACTGTGTTGCATGTAGCCATGTTTTATAAATTGTAGGTGACTAGCAGACAGAGGTAAGTTTATACTGTCTAACATTAGGAATCTAATGTTCATATCCACTTTTTTTTTTAATAAAAAGTAAATGTTGTCTTTAGCCACTTTGTTATACTGTTGTTTGTTTGCTTCTCAGATGTACCAACCCCCCCCCCCCCCCACCACCACCACACACACACAAGACGAGACGATGGAGAAGGCCAAGACTCGACACCCAAGATTCCCATGGCAACAAAAGACGTGTTTACTCCAGAGCAGATGTGAAGGATGGATGACTACAGGACCAGCTGGAGAGCGATGGGCACCTTGCTGTCACACAGCAAAGTAAGTGCTGATAAACTTAAGATGACTTTATGTGTATTCTTTTTATCATAGGTAAAGATATCATGCAAAGGTTGTAACACTATGTCCACACTAACACATGTCTCATGAATCTTTTCCACAGGGCAGGACTCCTCTGTGTTTCCAGTGTTCCTGCATGGGGCATCTAACCAATCATTCCTCCAGAAGCCTCAGAGACTCACAAGCCCCTCCTACGTCTGCCCCACCAACCCCAACCCCTCAACACCACCCTCTTCTCTCTTTCCATTTTTAAAATCTTAAATAAAAAATATTTGTGTGCCATAAATGATCTCGTTTGTTTTAAGTTCATAGTTGACATTTTAATTATAAACTAAGTGAATGTACAGTAAATATTATATGTATAACTTACTTATCTTATATCTAACGGTACATGTTTAGGGTTCATTAAAGCTTGTAATTCTTAATTTGGAGTGGATTTTTCAAACTTTGTGTAATACTTGGTTGCCTAGTTACATAATATGTAAAGTATTTGTGAATTTGTGCTTTTTATATTTAACTCCCTTGTAGATCCACTTGTATTTTTAGAACTGTAATGTGAGTAAACTGTGCCAAGTAGGCTATTAAACAATGCCTGTTTGTGAAGCCATTACACACTGAGGGGGGGGGGGGGAGCAGAAGTTAATATTTCTCACTGTGACGTTTTTGTTTCATCGCTCAGAAATAAAAAAACTTTTATTGTTCAAACTTAAAGACTGCTTCAAAAGTTAAACAAAACAGCTATTCATGCACTCACTGCACGCAAACTTTACCTTTGTTAATCTGGGATACAAATATAGGCCATTGTCAGAGTAGAAAGAATGAGTCATGTGTTCCGGTCATGATTTTCAAAATAAAACTCTTATGTACAGTTTTAGATTTGCTGTGCTTGAACCTGGAAATATGACTTTACAAAAATATCCAGTTATCAAAATCGTTCCTTAGGGGTTTCCTTTAAAGGGAAGTGTCATGCCATGTCCTGGTCTTCATCAGTTAGAGTGAGTTCTGTTGTTGGTCATTGGAAAAGTAATTACACAACTATAGATGTTACAACTAGAGCATTTAGCAATCCCTAAGAAAACTGACAAATTATCCCTGTAAAGGAAATTGTAAGTCATAATTAAAAAATGGATTTAACTATAATTGTACATTGTAATTAACAGAATATAGAATAGAGTAGACAAGTCTTAATGCCTTTATTTTCATACGCACATCATAACACAAACAAACAATACATTTAATCACATTTCCACACACTAACAGCAACACACAGATGCCCATTCATCATAGTTACACATAGAGGTGGACCTTTGGCTTTTATTGCACCTTACAGGGAAATGATTGCAGACTGAATGCAATTGCCTCATGACTATAAATGCAGGTTGAATATAATGCAACATAAATTATATTGTACATTAAATGCAATTACACCATGAGAAGTATTGCACATGAAAGGGTATTCTGTCATAAACAATATTGCTCATTAAATGTTATTTCACAATGATTAGTCAATTTGCATTAAAGAATTACGCACTATGAATATAATCGAATATTTAATGTCATTGGCCCTAAATCATTTTGCACATTCTATGTTAGCCACCTCGCTCGTACTGCAAAAAGTTAGTCTTAAGGCGTGTGATGCTGTTTTTGGGGGCAATGTTGCTGTCAAGTTCAGTCTGGTTACTAATAAAATATAAGATAAGATAAGATAAGATAAGATAATCCTTTATTTATCCCCACAATGGGGAAATTTACATTGTTACAGCAGCAAAGATTGCAGACAAAAAGTGAACACAGTACAATTTAAATAAAAAAATAAAAAAATAAATTAAGAATGTACAAAAATTTATACTAAAAAATAGATTTAAAAAAATAAAATATGACTCAATAAATAAAAAAATAAAAAATATATAAAATATGTTATTAAACTTACAGAAATTTTATTAAAAAAGTGAATACAGTACAATTTAAATACAAAACAAAATAAAATAAAAAAACAAAAAATAGACAAAAAAAATAGACACTAAAAAATAGATTAAAAAATAAATAAATTAAATAAAATAAAAAAATATATAAAATATGTTACTAAACTTACAGAAATTACGACATAGGCAAAAACGGAAATAAGTTACACTAATAGGCTACAATCATTTTGGTATAGGCTATCTATAACAAAGAGTTACGAAAAGGTAAACACCTCGCTGTTCGAAACTTATTCTGAAAGCAGCACGTCACACTTCCGGTACCTATCCCTGTGTGGACTTAACGCAGCACCTTTATAACCTGCATGTTGTAGGTCTGCCGTAACGCAGGCAGCAGAACCGGCCGAACAAAACGTCGTCCCCTCCATCCCCTCTCTCTCTCTCTCCCTCCTCGGCTCCGACATGGCTCAGAGCCTCGGGGAATTGTTTCTGGTGGTGGTCTTCAAGGCGGTCACGGGTTTCTTGTGTCTGGTGTTTCGGCTTTTCGCTCCTCAGAGATCCAATCTGGTCGGGAAGAAGGTTCCGCCCGTCAGCGACCCGCTGCTGCTGCTGTCGGCGAAGCAGCTGGCCTCAAAGATCCGAAGAAAAGAGGTGAGTGTAGACTACCTGCTCCGAGTGTGTACACTTAGAACAGCTCACTAATGCAGCTCAATGTTTGTTTGGAAGCAGTCAGTGAAGTATTTTGTCTCATAGTTTCAGTCAAAGATAGCGGCACTATGGGGCTGTTCACCTTTAATATTTACAGTCTAGGTTATTACACAAAGTCTCCACAAGCCACAGCGACAGTTCTACTTTAATCTTCTTATCACAATATGATGTTGACACATGAAAAGCAGCCGCGGTGTAACAAACTTCACAGTCTATGGTTTTACAACCCTGAGTGAAGAAAAGTAATCATTAACTTAGTAGAGAAAACACCTGACACACTCAGGTAAGACATCAGTGCATGTTGACTCAGGTTATTACTTTATATAGCCGAGGCTTCACATGCTGCTCCTGTCTGTCTGAGTCATCTGTTTAAACAGATCTGATAGTTCTGATGTATTGTTGGCTCACTTTTGAATACTTGTTTAATTCCTGTTGATTTAAAACCTTCTAAAGATTTGTCAGGATTTGGTTTTGTTTTTTGAGTTTCCCCGCTTTATCCCAGTGTTGCTTGTTTCCCTTGTGTGTTCATGGTTTCCTAGTTTTCTGTTTTTATTTTTCTCATTTCTTCAGCTGTCTCTGTGTGTCTTTCGTGTTTCATGATTTGTTTTGTGTTGTCCTCAGTGTTTCTGGTCTTGTTAGTCTCACCTGTGTTTCATTACCTCATGTCTAATTAGTCTCTGTGTTCCTTCCCTCATGTTGTCACTTCATTGTATGTTAGTTGTCAGTTTACTCGTGTCTCCTCGTGGCTCCTTGTTCTAAGTTTTTGTTGGACCTTTGATATTTATTTTAAATAAATCATTTTTGTTCGCTTCTGCACTTGGGTCCAGCTCCTTGTGTTTTTTTTTTACCTGAACATGACAATGTAACCTTTAAGGCTCTTACATTTTATGAACGATAGGTCAGTTGATAAAACATTGTATCAGTATGTAGATACACAGTTACAAAGAATTATAATGAAACACATTTGTTTTCTCCCTTTCCACAGTTTTGGTGAAGTTGTTCAGGTGTCTGAAATGCAGATGCTGCTTTAAATCCAGCGTTCTGTATCAATGAGTAGGACTGTCAATAAGCCGTCTGATAAAACGGGAGCCACCAAATGTTCGGTTTTTATTTTCCAGAAACCTACATTGCAGTGATACAGATACAGTACGGCACCCGCAGTACAATGTGCTGTTTCAGAGTGAGAAAGAAGAGCGGTGGGCTGCTGGCCAAGAGTGAAAGTCAAAGCTAGCAAAATGACAGCGTTTTGTTTTCTGTTGAAACATTTAATGGTAAACAAAAGTCAGGGTTTCTCTGACACAGGAAGTCAGGAGAGGCTGCCAGCCGAGCTGCCGCTGATGATTGAACATGCTCAGTTTGTTTTAAGGTTAGGATTTCTTCAGTGTACAGAGCCAGGCCGTCAGTGGTACCAATCATTTCAATCCTAAACTAAGTCAGGGGAAGTTTTCAGCAAAAAGAAATGGTTCAGAAAAAGTTTAGGACAAACCACTTTAATAATTCACCAGCAAACTTAAACTGTTTGACTTGTTCCCATGCTCTGTGATTCATGTGTGTGTGTGTGTGTGTGTGTGTGTGTGTGTGTGTGTGTGTCCGTCCCTTCTCTCGTATGTCTACATGTTGTGTTCCTGCAGGTTACTAGTGTGGAGGCGGTTCAGGCTTACATCGACAGGATCCAGGAAGTCAACCCTCTTCTGAACGCTGTCATCAAAGACAGGCAAGAAAGTCATGTCATTTATATCATCTACATATCATATTCTATATTTAAAGTTAGACATGTTAGCTGCCACAGTGATATCCGTTAGTATTTAGCATATTTGCAAAAAAAAAAAGAATTGTCAACTTAATCTACTCAACTACTCCAATAGTCCAAAAATGGTTCTACCTGATAGCTGCTGCTTCCAGCTTCTCAAATTTAAAGATTTTGTTGCATTCTTTTGTTACTAATTCTTATAAACCGATCATATCTAATGTATTATTTATTTGTTGCTAAAAATGTCCTGAAGCTGTGTAACTCTGTACAAAATACACTTTCATCGTCACATCTTTCAGCTTCAACTCTAAATGTAGTACTTTAACCCCTCAGGGGACATTTGTCCTCCAGCCCGGTAACAGTTGAGATGACGGTACAGTGACTCAGGCACTAAAAACAGGAAGGAAAATCCATCGAAACAAAACCCCTTTCAGTGAGGAAGGACATCTAGAGTACGTTACACTTTCATTATGTGGGCTCATGTCGAGCTGACGCAGGAGATTATCTTGTATCAAATGTATATCTGCAGTTTAAAGTAGAGGTAACACTATCTCTGCACAAGCTGCCCAGTTTAAATTTATCCCCAGGTCTTCCTCCCATCTGAGCCAAGATCTGTCCAGATCAGGAAAAGTGTGACATGAGAACCCTCATACTGCATATTCTAGAAACACTTTGAAATAATGGTCGGTCACTGTGAAATCATTTCTCCACTGATGTTAAGAGTTGGCAGGGTCAGCGTGCACCTTGTGATTGACACTTACTGAAGATAGCTAAATAAATCTTTTGTGTCTTTTCATTCATCTCGATGTATTCAATGGTAATCCATGAAGGGGGAGGGTCTCTATATGAAACATCTGTACCAAAAACCTAGATCAAGCAGCGTAGTAATACAATTTAAAGATTCTTTTTTTCAAAGTTCATTTCTCCAAACTGACTCTTGGGAGGTTTTACTTCAACCCTTTTTTTTTAATCATGAGTTTAACTTCAGGTTGTACTTCTTTCTTTCCCTTGGTCCAGGTTCGATGCGGCCCTCCAGGAGGCAGCCATGGTGGACAAGCTGATCGAGGAGGAAACTGGAGGAGAGGAGGTTCTGGAGGACCGACTGCCTCTCCTGGGAGTCCCTCTCTCCGTCAAAGAGTCGTACGCCCTCCAGGGTAAACTTCCAGAAACCTGATCTCCTGTCAGTAACTTGAAACGAGGCCCTTCGCTATGATTACATGCATCAAATAACCCGTAATTAACCTGTATGCACCCGCACCCGGTTATTGTTTACCAGAAACAATGGCACTTTCTTCTAGATGCTTCAGCTTATGATGAACAGTTCATTAAAAACATCCTCATTTCCAGCACGTTAGAATGACTTTCCTGTGTTGCAGGTATGCCTTACACCGGAGGTTTGGCCTCCAGGAAAGATGTGGTGGCCACCGTCGACGCTCCGCCTGTAGCCTGGCTGAAGAGAGCAGGTGCCATCCCGATGGGCGTCACCAACACCGCTGAGATGTGCATGTGGAGCGAGTCCCACAACCGCCTGCACGGCATCACCAACAACCCGTACGACCTGTCGAGGACAGCAGGAGGGAGCTCGGGTTAGAGAATCATTTCCTTTTAATTCCATTTCAAAGTAAAGAAGCGTTTCTTCAGAGCAGCTTATTGTCCGAGTGTCTGTGCTCCTCCACTGACTTTACTCTTCACAGGATTGTTTTACACGGGTTACAGACGTGGAAAAAGTTGCATCAAAGCCTCTGTTAAGGAATAGTAAATCAATGATATACACTTAAAATGAATCATAAAAAAAACATACATGCAAACATGTTTTCATAAATATTAGTATTTTTCACAGAAAGCTCAACTTGTAATTTCTTTGAGAATACAACATTTTGTGACAAACATTCCCATCCAGCGGCGTGTCCAGACTTTTTAAAACTGGGGCAACATGTAAACCTTTTTAGCGAGATTCCTTAGTGTTTCAAAAACAAAGATTTATATGTAAAAAGTCACAATTACTGTGGAAATTGAAGACAGTACATTTTATTGTCTATTAAGTCCAATACAAGTAAGAAACAGTGTGGACGAGTTTTTCCTTGCTCTTTCCATAGAAATGTCCAGAGTGTTTATTTAAGACTTCAGTAAAGAGCCAGTGAATTTAAAGGTACCTTTCAGATCCACTAACTTACCTCGTCTCCTCTGCGCCCCTCAGGTGGGGAGGGCAGTCTTCTGGGCGGGGCGGGCGCTGTCATCGGCGTTGGCTCCGACATCGGCGGCAGCATCCGCATCCCGTCTTTCTTCAACGGGATATTTGGCCATAAACCTACTCCTGGTAAGATAAACGTAATATAAACAAGAATTAAACATAATAAGGCTTCACATAGCAGAGTCTGTGGTGACTTGTCTCGTGTTCCTGCAGGCGTCGTGACCTCTGAGCACCAGAATCCTCCGACCTCTGGCAGACAGGAGGAGTACATCAGTATTGGGCCCATGTGTCGTTACGCCGAGGACCTGCTGCCGATGCTCAAGATCATGGCGGGGCCCAACGCTCACATGTAAGAAACAGGATGGTGTCGTTGGAGGGGGGGGGGAGAGTATTGACTGAGTGCCTTTTGTCACCGGAGAGGCTTCCTCTCAGGTAGAAACACTTCTTCTTGTTGCAATATGCAAACGCGGCAGTCATCAGGAGGTTCGTACACATCTATCCTCTATGTCAGAATTCTTCTTCAGTGCTACATGGCTGCAATGAAAAGCCTTTTGAAAGAACCTTTACTGTCACTTTGCAGACCCTAATTGTCGTGTTATAACCTAATATCTGTGACATATTGGAATTCCAAATTTAGCCAGATTAGGTTTTGAAATCAGTTATCTTTGGTTTTTTTGAGCCAAGGCAGAAAAAGACAGCTGTGAAGTAAACGCTGAGCTAAGCAAAATCCAAATCCCCGCTTTCATTCCTCTTAAAGAAACTCTTATGTACGGTCAAAGTGGAACAGGTGTTTTTCTGTTACAGGACCACGCTTCACTTTCACATGTCAAATGACAGAAGTTCCCTCAAATGTGCTCGAATGTGAAGTCGTGCAAGCTTTTGTCGGGAAAAGGGGAGACTGTGACGGGTATTAGATGCAGAGAAATCAAATTAATAAAAAAAGAAAAAAAAAAAGGAGTTTGCTCTTGTGTTTACAGGTTGCACTTGGACACAGAGGTTAACCTGAAGAAGTTGCGGTTCTTCACCATCCCTCACGACGGCGGCTCTTTTTTGGTGAACCCGGTCAGCAAAGAGCTCATTGACATTCAGAAGAAGGTGAGTGTGCATTCATTTCCCAAATAACTCGCTATTGAAAGACTTTTTATTTTTTTTTAAAGGCTTGAGACAATGACGTGATGTTCTCCAGGTGGTGGAGCGTCTGGAGGAGGACCTCGGGGTGAAGTGGAAGAGGTGCATTTCCCGGAGCTCCGCCACAGTATCCAGATGTGGATCGCTTACATGGGTCTCCCTGACGACAATGGAAAGGTAAGTCCGACAGGTAGAGCGCAGCAGAAAGGGAGCGCTGCAGTGATCGTTCCTGGAAGTGAAACAAAGATGAACAAGAGACAGAAAAGTAAACGGACCGTTGTGTCGTCAAGGCCGTCCGTCTAACACGACACGTGAAAGAAAGCAGGCCAGTCTGACTCACAGGCACGGCAACTACTGCTGCCATCTGCCAACAAATCATTGACTAATCCGTTTTGCTTCTGGGAACACAAACACACACTCTTCTACATTGTTGTACTTTCTTCAATGACTTGCCAACACTCGTTGAAAGCAGTGTTTTTCCGCGTTTCAAATGTTACTGTGTACTATAATATTCAAACTCTCGGGGCTAAAGCAGGTTGTCATTTCTGCTCATGACGCAGCATACCTCATGTGGTGTCAAAATACTGTATTTGAAACGTGTTCTTTCCTCAGGCTCCGCAGTCATTCGCTGCGCTTATAGGGGAACCAGGTCGACCGGTGAAGCCGTTGTGGGAGCTGCTGAAATGGATGTGTGGGAGATCGAGTCATACCTTTGCCGCTATCGGTACGTACTGTGTATTTTTTAACAAGACTTCATTTTTTTTTGTTGTTAAGAATTGTCTGTTTTAACGGAGCGCCCGTAACCTTGTGGAAAGTGCACGTGCCCCATGTACGGAGGCTATGATCCTCAGGGCAGGCAGCAGATCCAATCTGACCTGTAACCTCTCCAGAACAGAACTGGGCAGCCTGGCACGTAACACACAGCTGTCATGAATGTTGTAGAATTGTCTAAAAGCTGAAGCTGTACATTTGTTTGTGTGTTTGACGTTTTCAGGTCTCACCCTGCTGGAGATTCACAGCTCCAAGGCGTCTCCGTTCATCATCGAGCAGAAGGAGAAGCTGCAGAAGGCGATGGAGGAGCTGCTGGGGAGTGACGGTGTTTTTCTTTACCCCACCCATCCCAGAGTGGCTCCAATAACACACCACCCACTCTTCAGACCCTTTGACTTTGCCTACACAGGTACGCCTACGGGCTTTTTTGTGTTTTTTGGGCTTTTGTGCCTCTATTGTAGAGACAGGACAGTGGAGAGAGCCAGAAACCAGGGACTGAGAGAGAGTGGGGAACGAGTTGCAGGAGAGGAGACACAGGCTGTGTTTATTTATATTTTACCCATAGAGGTCCACAATCTTAACTCTTGAATCAATCTTATTTCATTTCTTAAGACTTACCTAAAACTAGACTCCTTTTTATGAATATATAATCATCATAATTTTAAGTAACCACTATGTTACCACTAATTAACCATTAGGTAACCACTAAGTAACCACTAGGTAAACACTGATTAACCATTAGGTAAACACTTAGTAACCATTAGGTAAACACTTAGTAACCATTAGGTAACCACTAGGTAACCGCTAAGTAACCATTAGGTAACCACTAAGTAACCACTTATTAACCAGTACGTAACCACTAGGTAAACACTGATTAACCATTAGGTAACCACTAAGTAACCACTTATTAACCATTCGCTAACCACTAGGTAACCGCTAAGTAACCATTAGGTAACCTACTAGGTAACAGTAAGTAACCAGTAATAACCACTACGTAACCACTGACTAACCACTAAGTTACCATTAGGTAGTGGCTACCTAATGGTTACTTAATTGAAAATTTACTGCACAGAAACCTCTGTTTAATTCTATGGCTTCAAGGAGTCAACGATAAAGTTCCACCTCTATCATCGACATGGCTTTTTACTTTAATACAAATTCTTGCAATAGATCTTTTTTTTGCTTCTATGTTCCTCGTCTCGGCCTCCCGACCAGTGTTACACTCTCCTCCACCCTCTTTCTCCCCCCAGGTGTTATAAACATCCTCGGGCTGCCGGCCACCCAGTGCCCTCTGGGTCTGAATGAGGAAGGTCTCCCCCTCGGCGTACAGGTCGTTGCCGGGAAGCTGCAGGATCACCTGACCCTGGAGGTGGCACTCTACCTGGAGAAGGCGTTCGGAGGCTGGAGGAAGCCCGAGGCCATCTGAAACCACACACACACGCACACACTCTGAAAGCCATGACCAAATCTCCAGACCTGAGCTGGATGGAAACAAGAATGTCAAGAGGACAGTTTATCTGACACGCTGCCTGATGTAGTACACAAATAGGTACAACCCGATCGTGAAAGTGAAAAGTGATTACCATTTCACTTGAGTAATGAGATTTAAGAACTTTAACTGGGTTCAGTGACTGTGGCGTCATGAGCACAAGCTTCAAAAATAGAGTTTTGTTTTAGTGGTGTAATGTTAAAATGAGCATTCCCATTATCAAACAAAACAAGTCTTATGTGAATTACAGAAGTTGTTTTTGGACTAAATCTGTACACTTAACGTTAAACTAACAGTGAATCTGCGTTTGAACTCTGACAAGTGAAAGCTTTTAAATCTCACACCGTTGGAGGGGCTCAGATGGGAGTTTGCTGATGTACTCAGACTCAATCTATATTGAAGCATCATAAAGGTGCCAGAGTGATGATCAAGTGTGTTCAGAATAAAGAAACAAACGTGTCCATGTTTTTCTCTAAATGTGTTGGGAGTAGGGCTAAACAATGTTAAACAATGACATTTTTTAAAATCTCGATTAATCTCAAAATTGTGATAGTTAATTGCATTTTTAACATGTTTGAAACTCCATTATTTTGCAGTTACACATAAAAATTGTTCGGCTTTTATTTTGAAATATTGTGCCGTCTTACCCTAGGAGCACTTTACTTGCTGTTTATTTTGCTTTCATTTTGAAATAAATGAAGGACCTTCAAGATTAAAGGTAATGACATTATCTTAACCACGGAAAAAGACACTTGTTAGGGATCAAAAACAAATCAAAAGTTATGTAAAAGTGAAATGTTTGACATCTTAATGTGGATATCACTTTGGACTCATTAGCTGAGCTGTCAGTTGTTTTTTTTTTATGCCTTTGAGACATTCAAAGATGCAGCAGTGTCTTTCTTTTCCATCACTGTGACTACAGGGAGGATAATCATAATTAACTAGTTCATGCCGAGAGTTCTATTTGGGAGGAAAGCTGAAAACAAAGTTCCCTATTAATACTGATCAGTGGACATTTGGTTTATTGCACTTGTAAAAAATGTGCAAAATTCTCCCCGTGTTGAAATGTGAATGTTGCATAATGAGAATTAATCCCACGTGGTTCCTGTTTTCTGCTGCAAACATTCGTTACATTCGTGATTAAAAGAAGAAAACAAATCTGAATCGTTTGTCATTCATGAATTCAGTTTTTTTGTTTTTTTAAATCTGTGCCTCTACCCAGTACAATCCCACCTGACAATAGTTACATCAAAAAGCAAAGGCAGCTGGATCTCAGTCATTAAAATGTACGACTATTATCTCAAGAGACTTCTGGCATTATATTTTTTCTTATTTTGTCACACATTGTATTTAGGAAAATGCAGTTTTATTTTTAGGTAAACAATAATGGTTGATACCTATCAGAGGTGTGAACAGCTAGAGGAGGTTTAGCTCAAGGTGAAGACAACACAGTGAAGGAAATCCACCTACCAGCCACCTTAAAGCTCAGAAACTACTCCTAAACATTATTTGTTGAGAATGCACAAGTGGTCTTTTTCATCAGGGGTCATGTTTGAGATTCACTTTCTATGTGAGGGATTTCACTCCATACATGTTGCATGTTTCTCTTTCACTTGATGATAAAGTTGAGAAATTGGAATTCAACTAGAGGCCACAGTTAAATCACTTTTGGGCCTATGTGCTGAAATCATGCTGAAACGTGTCCCATCCTGTTGATGCATGGAGATTTAAAGGCAGGGTTGGCAATTTTCTCCAGATACACTTTTTAAGATTTTGGTTGAAATTGTTTTTAGGTCCTGACAGAAATGAATAACTCATGTTCTCTGAAAAAAGAACCAATAAGAAAACTCGTCATCTGTAGCAGTTTGTAAGCCTGTAAAAAGCCACGAGGTACCAATCAGATGAACCAATCACAGGCCTCCCTGCTCGCTCTCTACCCCTTGTGTGCACTGGCCCACACTCTGATGACGGAGATTATACTGTGAGTTTATTTACCGCTGAATGAGAAATAAGACGACGTAGTTTCTACATAATGCGAGCGATGAGCTGAGGTCCGCTTCTAGAGCAATGGCGCTCGTATGTGTACGTGAGGGGCGTGGCTTTTGAGGGAGCACAGAGGGAGGGGTGGGTGCTGAAGAAATACGTTTTTCAAAATCATTCCAGTTTTTGAAAAAGTACCAACCCCGCCTTTAAGTAACCATCCCAGATACATCAGTTAGCATGTGAAGTAAACAGAGGTGTAAACGTTTGCAGGGATTAGTTTAGGCACACCAAAAGGAAATCCTAAGTACTTTAAAAACCTTTTAAAAAGTCAGTAAGAAGGATTAGAAACACCCCCTGGAGTCTGTCGTCACTTTATTTTCTTCCCTTCTTTTGAAAAGGATGAAAAGGTATGAAACACCAACCAGAACACTCTGAACAGTACTGTACAGAAATATTCAGCGCTCGCTTCGGTCACCTCTATGTCGACCGTCACAAGTTCTTTTTTCTCTCTCTCTCTCTCTCTCTCGTTTCATCACATGAAGACTCCGCTGAACAGAAGCTTTGAACGTCACATTCATACAGAAAAATACAGACGGCCTGTCTCTCCTTCTCTGTGGACACGCGGCATGCTCGTATGCCAGAGTACAAATGTTAAGAAGGTGCCCCCCCGCCGTGAGAAGAACTCCTCTGCTCGCTCAGACTCTCTCTCTCTCTCCCATCAGACAAGCATCGGAGGTGACTTAAAAACGGAAACAATAAAAAAAGGGAAACAACCAAAAATAAAGTACAGAAATATTCTTCAGAGTCCTGCGTTTTGGCGGTGCAGGAAAAGGGAGAACCTCTCTCTCCTTGACAATCTTCCACCTGCCCAGTGCTCCGTTTGGCCCAAATGTGTATGCAAATACTTGTGTGTAAACATGTTGTTGTTTTTTTTTTTTTTTTTGAAAAATGAAATCTTAGCGTGGGATTTTTTTTTGAGGAACAAACATCTCAGGAGGTGTTGGTGATGGGTTTGTATTTCTTGAGGCGGGTCCACTGTCCTGTGGAGTAGTTCATTTCGAACACTGTGTCCACCAGCATAGTGGTGCTGCCGGTGCCGTCGGCTTTGGGCAGCACCTCCGTGTGCTCGCTCAGCTTGATCTGGATGATGTCCCCCTGCTCCGGGCACGGGTTCTCTGTGGAAACACACAAGGGAAGGCAGACTGGTTGTTACTGGATGTTAAAAAAAAAAAAAAAATTAGGAAACATCAGGCTAGCTCTTGTTTTTAAATCATCAAAGCTCAGAAAAAAAAAGAAAGATGATCCTGAAGTCCTCGAGAGCAGTTACAGTAAATCTAAACGAGGACATTTACGCCTCTGCAGATTATCTATATGTTATTCCAGTTAGAGGACGTATGCTCTTTATTCTGTATGGATGTTCATGATACATTAAGATAACTCGTGTACCTCTGGATCCAGCCATGAAACCCAGGATGAGAGCCTTCTCCGGTCTGGTGACCTTGTTGGCCGTCTTGAACATCTCCTGGGCGGCGTACATCTGGTCTCTCTGAGAATCACACACAGCAGACATGTGAGCCTGATCACAAACACCTGAATCTGTCTTTCAACTACCTTCGCCGTCACTCTCTCCGACTTACCGTGAGCGACAGGTTCTTTTTGGGCTGTGGCTGCGGAGGCGTGGGGGCCGGTGTCGGTGTCGGGGTCTGAGGTGTGCTGGGAGGCTGGGTGGGGGTCTCCGGCTGGCTGGCTGTCGCAGCTGCTGGGGGCCCGTTGTTGGCGGGGGTGGAGGCCGGCGTGCTCGGGGACGTGGGGGTTGCGGGATTGGCCGTGCTGCCGGCGTTGTACATCGGCGTCCTCTGCTTGTACTGGCCCGGTAAGGTTGCGTTGGCGCCTGCGCCCGCTGTTGCCGACTCCTCTGGTTGGCGAGCCGACTGCAGAGTGTCCCGTCCCGAACCACCTGCATTTGCTTTAGAGGAGGACATGAAATAAAACACATGAGTGGGAATCTGCTGATTATGTCTCTGCCTCATCAGACTAGAGCATTAAAGCTAAGTGTGGCGCTAACCTGGCTGAGCCTCTGAGCTGGGAATGTAAGAGGAGGAGGGGACCATGCTGGGTGTGGCCGGTAAGTAGCTGGTCGATGGAAGAGGGTTCTCGTTCAACGCCCCCAGTTTCTGAAAAGTTATGACAAAGATACATTTAAGAGAGGGGGGTAATATGATGCAAAACAGGAAAATCAAGACCTGAGGGATGCTGAGTCCAGTACCTGTGCAGACACGAGGCCAGCGGCGTAGTCGGGTGTCGTATTTTCCACCACGGCTTCTTCTTTGGCTGCTTTTTCTCCCGCCTCGGATTCTACAGCAGAAAAAAAAAAAGAAGAAGCGTCAAAATTAAAAAACTCACTCATGTCTCTGGACGGATCAATTAAGATGCAGAAGCTTTAAAACTCGGGCCGGCTGATATAATTACCCAGCGTCTTTCTTCTCCTCTTAGCTTCTCTGCCGGCTCCGACCATGTCCAGCTCCGAAATATCTAACAGCTGCACACGAGGAAAAAACAACAACAATGAAACATAGATCTTTAAGAAAAGGTGAATGCAGCAAATGAGACAGAAATCATAATGATGCAAAAAAAAAAAAAAAAAAAAAAAAAGCTTCAGCAGGATTAATATCTTCAAATCAAACTTTACCTTGACCCCCCTCTCCTTGCGCAGGGGCGTCCGTGCAGGGGCGATGGGTGTGCGGTTACTGGGGGGGCTGAACATACTTGGGGCAGTGGGGCTGCGGAACGGGGCTTTGGGAATCCCCTTGAGAGGAGCTGTGATGCAAATATTGATGAAAGTAAATATTGGAAGAGCTATATTAGGAATAAGTGATTATGTCGACTTTTTGAAAGATAAAAATGAGTGTTAGGGTGGGTAACTTTTACAGAACAATAACCTGATGGTGAAAATATGTTTTTTTTTAACCCTGAAATGTCAAACTTGTGGGTGGATTCATTGGGCTTTGACTCACTAGTTGTGTCGATCTTTTTGACCAATCCTCTCCCTTTGGCGTGAAAAGGCACTCCAGCCGTCTTCTTCAGCTGTTGGGCTGTCTCTGTAGCTGGAAAATAAAAACAACAAACGAATGCATTTTAGGAACAAAAATGAAGCATTGCATTCCCCCCCCCACCACCACCACCACTTTGAAGCGGAAAATGACTTACACTTCTGTAGCAGCTCTGCTCTGAGGGTGGCACTCTTGGGCTTTCGCTTCAGCTGGAAATGTTTGACGGGGGGTGTTAGGGGTCCCACCAGGGTGGTTAACGCACTCTTGTTCAGGTACATGCACTCCAGAGGAAGCATGGCAGACGCCTCGCACTCTCCCACTGTGCAGGAGAGGAGGGAGAGATTAGACAGCAGTTCACCTCAGGACAGTCTGTTGAACACCCTGACTCACCATGAAGTGTCTGGAAAGTCTAAACTGGCTGGCAAAATTATAAAATTCTCTCTTTGGTTTCAAATCCATGACCCAGCTTTGGGCATCAGGTAGTTGCTTTGAAAAGGAAAACACATTACTCTGTGTTTATAAAGATGGGTACATACATTTCCCATCACAACTAGGAAACTAACTGTGATGGAAACATGTTTGGATGCAGATGTTACAGAATCGATATGGCTGCAGAGTTGTGATAACAGTTTTGACAGACATTGACCTATGGTGCACTTCACAAGAACACCTTAGCCACGGCTCCGGGATTCAAATATTTGAATCTATTTCTAGGATCTCTGAGGAGCTGAACTGAAATGTTTGAAGTTGTTGGATCCTCACACCTGTGCTGTTGGTCTTAATAATAAAGAACAGCTGTTGTAGTGAATTCTGTGTAGGACATGGTCGTTATCCAAACTCAACGTACATCATGATATGTATCGTGGCCTCTGTATTGTGATATGTATCGTGGGGTTGTGGGAAATACCCAGCGCCCTAGTGTGAGCAGCAGTTTGAACACTTCAACAGCTGGCTGAGTGAAACTACAAATGAAACTTAAAAATCAGTCAAGCATCGAGGTTTTTCACTTCTGAGTGATCAACAAGTAGCAGATCCTCTGCATGAATTGTAAAAAATGTTGAATATTTGTCTTCACTTCATGTTCACCATGAATTAACTAAGCATGTTTATCATCATAAAGTCAACATTCAC